GAAGGGTGTCACATAAGAGAGGGGTAGGATATGGAATTGTGATATATTTATCTTGGGAAAAGTTCATTTGGAGGAGATGTGATTGGGGCAACATTGAATCCTGGGACTAGGTGACCACAAATTTCCAAGTTGGTAACATTTACATGGGACTTGCAGAGAGAAGCAACATCTTTCTTAGTTGCTGGAGATTTAGTAGAGAAATCGAGATCATTGTTAAATTAGCTGAGCTTTTATTTGGTTTAATCACACAGTCTTTCAGGGATGGAGCGCTTTTCATAAATATGCCTTGATCCATCTTAGAAGCTATTTCATACATCAGACACACGATACTTGTCTTTGACAGCTAACGTATATGGAACCTAGAGAAAAAATTTTTAAGAAACATAAAGTTTAAGGTAGAATGTCCACTCTGATTCCTTTATAAAACAAGAGTTTTGGACAAACAAGGAATTGGGATTACTGAATAATAATAGTCACATTTTCCTTGGACTCTCTGCCAGGCGCTGTGGCATGTTCTTTTACCTGTCTCATCTCATTTTGTCTCGTGACACAGTTCATCCATTTACTGATGAAGAGGTTGGAGCCCTGAAAATTTGGAGATGCCCGGTGCCACCAGGTCAGCAAGCGCAGAGCTGGGCTGAGGTCCACAGCAGCCAGGACCCCAGCCCTCACTCCCTCCTAGTCCCCCTTATGAACGGGGTAGTTCCACACTTCTTTTTTGCTTGTTTCTCATTCTATTTCTATCTTCAAAATCAAGTATAAATGAGTCGTTAAGGAAAAGAATTTGCAAAACACCTGAGTCCAGCAGACAAAAATTGAAACAGACATCTCCATCTGAATGCTTCTGGGCTAGCCGGTGAAGATTTTCTTTGGGAGAGGAATTGATGACATGTTAGGATTAGACTACACCTTGCCAGCCTGCTTCTCATCCTCATTTGAAGTCAGAATTATGTCCTCACTATGGGTTTCCCTGGTGGCTCAGATGGTAAAGAATCTGCCTGCAATGTGAGAGACCTGTGTTTGATCCCTGGGTCGGGAAGATCCTCTGGAGAAGGAAATGGCTACCCACTCCAGATTCTTGCCTGGAGAATTCCATGGACAGAAGAGCCCGGTGGGTTACAATTCACAGGGTGGCCAAGAGTTGGACATGACTGAGCAACTAACACTTTCACTTTTCACTATGTGCAAGGCATGGTGTTGGGTTAAAGGGTACCGTGGCATAGAAATCAGACACAGTTTCTACTTTTAGGAAACTCATATTCTAGACAAAGAAAATACTAAGGTAAACAATTACAGTACAATGTGATAAAGTAGAAGGTAGGGCCAAGATAAGGTTCTGTGAAAAGACAAGAGAACCGTTCTGTCTGGGGTGAATTGGTGAAGCTTCCATGGAGATCTTTTTCTTAATATGAAATTTGAAACATGAGTGGGAGTTTGTTGAAAAAGTGGGAGAAAGACATTCTGGGCAGAAAGAAGAGCTTGAGTTAGAGGATAGCTGGAGAGAGAGTGGCTGGGGCACTGGCAAAAGACCAAGTTTAGTGAGGCAGGTTTCTAAGCCTGAAAGGGCTTAGAAAGGAGTTATGAGCCCGAGTTGACAGCTGGATGAAAGCATCAGTGGAAACATTCAGTGGAAATAGGAAGTGTGAGAATCTACTCAGCAGAAATGAACTAAATCGCCCACAGCGACAATCCTCTGGGCTTGTCACCCCAAGCCTCGGGTTTGTAATCCAGCTCCACCACTGACCGGTTGGCTAATGCTGGGATTATTACTTTAACTCCACAATTCTCGGTTTCTTTGTCTGTAAACTGGGTATTATTGTTGCTGTGAGGACCCCTTGAGATGAAGGACATCATGGATAAAAATGTTAGTTCTCATTGACAAAGTTGGAAGCCCTTGACAACACCCAGCAGAGCTCAGGTTTCCTGGAAGACTGTGACGGGATCTGCCTGGTCTATGCTATCCTCCATTCCCTGTCTCCACAGGAAGCTTGACACTGCCTTTTCTGGGAATAAGATCAGTATTATTTTTCAGACTCTCACTGGCACTACCATCTCCTACCTTGCCTGAACTTCCCAGCCAACACCGGGGTCTCCATGGTAGGAATTGTCAGTTGAGGGGAATCATTCTGCAGAGGATAGGCTGCAGGACTGGGGACAGTAAACACTGTGACACAAGGATCTAACAGATCGGACAGTGAATGCTGCACAGGTCCTGGATTAGGCTACAGTGTTGATGCATTGGTTGCTGGCCAGTGTGTGACTTGGGAAGTTAATTATTATAAGGTGCAGAGGAAGTTAGCATGGCTGGCTCCTCAGGACCTGAGCAACTGTGGTCCACATGCACTTTAACACCTTCACTGGCCTCTGCTCGCTACCATTTATCTAATGAGTACAGAGTTTCTAAGCTGAAATACCAAGGTTCTAACTTGGAAACTTTGTTGACTTCAGAAGGGCTGTTAGAAGACCCTAAGTTCCTCATTTCCCCCCAGACAGCCTGAAAAAAAATGCTACCAAGATGTGAAGTGAAGTGAAAGTCGCTCAGTCGTGTCTGACTCTTTGTGGGTAGCCCTTCCCTTCTCCAGGGGATCTTCCCAACCTAGGGATAGAACCCTGGTCTCCCGCATTGCAGGCAGATTTCTTTACCAGCTGAGCCACAAGGGATGCTCCCAAGATATGAAGAGTAGCTTTCTTTTGATGGAGGAGTTACAGAAGACTCCATTTTTCTCCCCTTTCTTGTGATATTGGTAAAAAAATAAAGATAATTCCCCCCCCCCACCCCCCACACACCTTTTGCTTTGGCCAAGCTGCAAAGCATGTGGGATCTTAGTTCTCTGACCAGGGGTAGAACCCGTGCCTCTTGCAATAGAAGCATGGCATATTAACAACTGGAATGCCAGGGAAGTCCTTCCCCTATTTTTTTTTTTTTAAAGAGGAAAAGCCTGGAACCCAGAAAGTGTGAGTTGCTGGCAGCTTCTAACCTATGCAGCGTCTTTGCAATGACCAAATTCTTCCATTCCACATGGCCTCATGTAATCCTCACAGAACCTGAGGGACAGATGTTCTCTTGTCTTTCCCATGGGGAAGTTGGTGGTCTCAGAGACATAAGGTGAGCTGACCAAGGCCACATAGTGTGAAGGGCTGAGCTCTACTCCCTGCCCAGGGCACTGTCAACCTGAGGCTGGCAGACCCTGGTCCCTGGCATAGATTCAGATCTGAGTGTCCTGAGCTCAGCTTGGGCCAAGACCCAGCCTCCTTCGCTGTTCTGTGTTGCTGAACTGACTCTGGACCACATCCTGCCCCAAGGAGTGAGGACATAGCCTCAGGAGGGGAACAGTGGAGGCAGGGCCATCAGTGACAAAAGGCTCTTCTGACCTTTTGGGAATCTAGGAGTCTCTGGAGAGGCTGGAGAAGGAAAAGTGGAGAAAACTTGTCTGGGGAAGCCCAGGTCCAACCGTGATACTTACAAAATGCTCTGGAAAATATGCCTCACTTGCCAACCCCGTTGTTTCTCAAGGTTTTGATTTTGGGTCTGTAGAAGAGAAACATTTTCAAATGTTACCTGATGAGGTTTTTTCTTAGAGATATCATTTAAAAAATTTCCACTACTTCCATGATTGCAACAAAATCGTGACGCTAGTCTCATGTCATAGGGAAAGTGGAACCTCAGAGAACCCAGAGAGCACAGAGGTTCAGGCTTAGGCTTGTGCCTTCCAAGGTGGAGCTTTGAAAGATGTCGAGCTCAATGGTGAGGGCCAGTCTTGAGAGAGAAGTGGTTGTCTCATCACTAAAATTTCCTGAGTAATTATTATGTGGCAAAGGGCATCCTTCGTGGCTCAGACAGTAAAGAATCTGCCTACAACGTGGGACACCTGGGTTCGATCCCTGGGCTGGGGAGATCTCCTTGAGAGGGGAATGGCTACCCACTCCAGTATTCTGGCCTGGAGAATTTCATGGACAGAGGAGCCTGGTGGCCTATAGTCCTTGGGGTCACAAAGAGTTGGGCATGACTGAGCGCCTAACACTTATACAGAAAGGAAAGAAGATAGAATTATGTGGCAAGCAATGTTTTTAGAGATTGTCTGGGTTTTCTACTTTAATTTCACTTTTGCTGTTTCAGTTTTAAAGATGGGGAAGCTGTGGCCCAGATCACTCAGCTGAGAAGTGGTGAAGCCAGGATTTGGGTCCAGAGATCTAGTTCTGGGCTCATATTTGGTCACTCTGGACCAAGGTCCTATGTGGGCTATAATGCTCAAGGCAGGAAATGTAGCAGAGAGTAAGACAGTTTAGAAGCTCACTGATTATGTCTCCTGTCTTGTGGCTCTCTTGAGATCTTGTCTATACCTCCATAACCATCTTGCAAGGCTGGAAGAAAAAGAGTCTCCATTTTCTGCATGAGAAAATGAAAGGCAAAAATAGGGAATTGTCCTACTCAAGGTCACAGAAAGACATGGTTGCAAGATAGGATTAGAAACCAGACATTTCATCGGGCCTATAATACCCTTTCTCTCTTCTGGGAATTCTCCCTATTCAGCAGAATTGGGGCCAGTGCTGATGCCTGGGCAAGTAATCAGAGCATCCCTTGTACTGGAGCATCTGCAGAAACCAGGAACACTGGGGGTGGGGGTGGGAGGCGGAAATGTGGTGTTCGGTAAAAGAGGGTGAGCAAAACCAGAGAACAGAGTTGCTTCGGGATTCTGGTGATGCAGCTCCAGATCAAGGTCCCAGAGCATGGATTCAGAGACAGGTCAGTGAATGGAGAAGTTTATCAGTGTGTTCAGAGAGACAGGTACAGAGATTGACAGATATGATGATAGGGAGAGAATGATTATATAGTTCTTGAGTGGAGGAAGGCTCCTTCCATCAGGACATTTATGGTAATTATTCTTAATAAAGAGAAAGAAAATGTTAGAAAGAGATCCATCATCGTGACTAGTAAGAGACTCTTTATTGAGCTCTCACCAGCAGTGCTATGGTCAGGGCTGGGCAGGAAAGGTCCTTACCTTTCGCGGTTTACATGTTTGTTTAATGTACAAACTATACCACAGAAGGCAGAACAGCACTGAAATCCTGGTTGGCAATCTTCCTGTAATGTGCAGAACTCGGTACAGTTTTCCGGGTCTGATCGGCAGGGTGGAGGTTCCAAGATATACCCTGGAACACAGAGTAGAAAAGAGAAGACTGGAGTGACGTTCAGAAGTCTACGAGGCCAAGGAACTGCCAGGGAACCAGGCATGCTGATCCTCTACTGTGGTCACAGGGAGGTAGAGTAAGATTTTTGGGCTGAGAACTCTTTCCATCAAAGATGGAGTTTGGGAGAATCCTGCACGCAGGGGTCACTCATCACCCTTGCAGATCAAATGCTAAGTCCCCATCGGCCCTGGTTGAGTCTGGTTCAAGGGAATGAATGGCATATGTGTGCCAGTCCATTTGTTCTGATTCATTGTGCAGACTCAAATAAACAATAGTTTATCCTAGGGTTTGACCTAACATGTTATTTGTGCATAGGAAGAATGAGTAAAAGGGATGATTTTTGAAATGGATAAAGACTGCATAGCACACTCAAGTTATTGGCATCAGAATGCTAGAACCCAAATCTCAGATGAGTTCTGGGGGTGACTTCTTTCATGGGAAGAAGGATGGGTATTTCAGAACAGGGTGCAAAGATCAGCTGTTTCATCTTCCCAGGTCTGTAGCGATTGTGAGGTCAGAGTTCCAGGGTCCCCCACTTTCTATTGTTAAAGAAGAATAAATATTTTACTTAGGCATTCCTTTACCCCACCTACCAGAAATCAGATCAAAGCCAAGAGCACCTCTACCATGGGATCCTGCCCCAAGGCTCCAGCTCACAATATTCTCTCTGTTCCTGAACTCTAAGTCATTAAGAACAAACCCATTAACTCCTTTAGTCAAGACCTGCCAGATCTTAATTTTTGTTCCTTTTGACTTGTCTTTTCTTTGGGGCAAATGTCATAAGAAGAGCATTCTGTAAGCCTTTGTTGGTTTACTGCTCTGCAGGTATTTGCAATTACAAGGGGATCTGTAGGATATCATGCTGATCTAAAAGGAGTAAGTGATTAATGAAGCTGGGGCTATAACAGTAATAGCAAATGATACCGGAGATGGTGGCTAAGAAGCCAAGAACCAGGCTGATGACAATTTGGCAGAAACCAGGGCTTCCCTAGTAGCTCAGACAGTAAAGCACCCGACTGCCGTGCAGGAGACTTGGGTTCGATCCCTGGGTCGGGAAGATCCCCTGGAGAAGGATATGGCAACCCACTCCAGTATCCTTACCTGGAAAATCTCATGGGCTGTACAGTCCATGGGGTCACAAAGAGTTGGACATGACTGAGCAACTAACACACTGTACTCAGTATTCAGCTGTCATTCCTTAGCTCACTGGATCAGTGCAAGAAATTGGGCTTCCCTGGTGGTTCAGTGATTAAGAATCTGCCTGCTAATGCAGGGGACATGGGTTCAGTCCCTGGTCTGGGAAGATTCCACATGCTGTGGAGCCACTAGGCCTTAGTGACACGACTACCGAGCCTATATGCTGCAACTGCTGATGCCTGTGTGCCTAAGCCTGTGCTCCACAACAAGAAAAACCACCACGACAGGTAACCTGTGCACTGCAATGAAGAGCAGCCTTTGCTTGCTGAAACTGGAAAAAACCCTCACGCAGCAATGAAGCCCAACACAACCAAAAATTAAAAAAAAAGAAATTGGAGCTGATCCTCACTTTGGAGAGCTTGGTGCTCAGTGGAACACTGTGGAAAAAGAGTCCATGAGCCAGGAATCTCAGAGAGGTTGACCTTCTCAAGTTTCGCTTCCTTTACAGGGTATCTGGTCCTAATCTCACTGTGTTACTTACCAATGTTTCATAAAGCCTCTGTGTCTCTCTCTCCTCAAATTTTAGTCTCTGGGTCTCCAGCTAGCCCCTATCCTGGATAACCCCATCCTCTTGCAGCTTGTTTAGCCTTCCTTGGTTAAACCTGCACTCTCTCTCTGAGAACCCTAACATAGGACCTTGCCTCCCTAGATACATGAGATAGTACACATAATCCTCTCCTGAGCCTGCAATATTCTGAAGATACATCTCCTATGGAGAAGTGCAGGGATAATGAATGACAACTCATTTTCCATTTGGTTTTGATCACCAAAGTAACTGTGGCCAGAGCTCTTGTTTGGTTGGAGCTAGGCAACAGTGGCTGCAGAGATGAACTCCACACCTTCCCGTGGGTGCTAATCTCTGATGACTGTGCAGACACCTCTGAGCATTTAACATGGGAAATGAAATGCAACACTTTATTTCCTTTCCTGGCAAAATATCCTCTGAGGCTGAGATTATGTAGGTCTCAGGTTGAATTCTGCCAATTTAATTTTCCTGTTTCAGTGCTTGAAAAGTTGGCCCAAGCATCCGTGAAGAGGCTGGATGATGGAGCTGATAACATTTACAGTATTTAATACTTATCGAGCACTTACCCTGGTTCAGTAGGGGCACTCTATGTTTACATGCATCGTCTCCATTTAGTGTCCCAGCTACCCCACTATCATTCTATCCATCAAAAAGATAAAATCCAAAGGTCAGACACTCTACTTAAGCTCACTCAGTGTGAAACAGAGCGGGGGTTCAAACCTAGATCTTGCTGACAATAAAACTTGGACTTTTGAACACGAAACTATTTTTTCATGAGATGTACCCATCCCTCGCATCCTCTCATCTCTCCAGATGCTTCTTCCCTCCCCTGGGCCCAGACCCAGCACCTACTCCTAAAATGTTGCTTGGGACTCCCAGACACCAGCTGCGATGCTAAGTGAGTCAACAGCAGGAGCTGGAGAAACAGCGCAGGCTTCATGCTGCTGGTAGGATGGGTAGGCAAGTCCTGGTCAAAGTTGTGACCAGGCACAGCTTATAACAGAAGGCAAAGTGAAGGCAAGGAGCTGTGACTGCCTTACACCGTGTCCACCAATCAGGAGGCTTTGGCAGAAATCTGAGCACCTCCCAACCACGCCTACTGCAGGGTCAAGAAACATTTTCAAATCCACACTCTCATCACCCCCCTCCCTCATCCTGACCTTGTTAGGTCTCTCATCTATTTCTATCTTGTTAATATCCTTTCACAAAGTTTTAATAAGTTCTTCCACGTAGAGTTCTGGCTTGTCTTTGTTATATTTATTCCTAGAGGTTTGAATTGTTAAAATTGTAAACAGCATCCTAGCTTTTTAATTATTCCTTTTCGTTTGTTGCTAATGTAGATAAACGGACTTTTGCGTATTGATTTGTAGCCAGTTATCTTGCTAAACTCGCCCATTGTTTACTGTAATATTGCGATGTGTTCTTTTCAGTGTTCAAAGTATTCAACATCATCTGCAAATAATGACAGTTGTATCAGTTGTATTTTTCCTCTTGGAACTTTATTGCCTTTTTTTTTTTTTTGGTTACACTCTGTGGCATGCAGGGTCTTATTTCCCCAGCCAGGGATTGAACCTCGTCCTTTGGATTGGAAGGTGGATTCTTAACCACTGGACCATCAGGAAAGTCCCCATCATTTCTTTTAAATGATGATAATATTTAAGATTTATTCTGTTAGGAACTTTCAGGTATATAATACACTAAGATTAGTTGTAACCACTAGGCTGTACATTCCATTCCCAGAATTTATTAATTTTATAACTGAAAGTTTGGACCATTTCCCCAAATCTCCTCTTGTCCCCCAACCTCCAGCTCCTATGAACCACAATACTACTCTTTGTTTCTATGAGTTCAGTTTTTTAGATAACACACATGTGATATCATTTATCTTTTCCTGTCTGGCTTTTTTCACTTATCCTAATGCTTCAAGTTTCATCCAAGTTGTCATCAGTGCCAGAACTTCCTTCTTCCTCATGGCTGAATAATATTCCATTATATATATATATCACATCTTCTTTATCCAGCCATCTATGGTTGGACTTTGGTTGTTTCTGTATCTTTTAAACTATGTTCCTTCTTTAATTTCTTCTGTAAATTATTTTATAAACAAAATATAGAGCTGCTGTTTTTTTGCAGAAAAAATAGTTTGTTTGCAAAAGGAGAAGATTAGCTATGAGAGGAGGACCGTCCCTGTAGGAGCCCCAGGGTCACAGGAGTGGGCCGTGGTGAGGGGCAGCCCAGGGGAGGAGACAAGGGCTCCTTGCTCTGCCCCGGCTTGGCCAGGGGAGGCAGCGAGGAGCCCAGGATCACCTCCCCTTCCTTCCCTTCCCCCTCCCCACTCAGCTGTCCAGGGGAGTCTGGGCCAGACGGAGCGCTCACCACTCCGGCCAGAGTCATGAGAACCCAGGCTCTGCTGTCCATCCTGCTCCTCTGCGTCCTGCTGCTGCAGGCCCGGGGAGGGCAACGCAGCCAGAGGATGAGCCGTAGGTGATGAGGGGGTGGGGCGGGAGGGGGCGGGGGGGGTGGGAGGGGTGACGTGTCCAGTCTAAGGAGAACCTGGGAATTAGAACTTTCTGAAACATCCTATTTGGACCACGGCACTATGAAGACTCTGGTTCTTCCCAAACCACGGTCCTCCAGTCTCTTTATCTGGCTCTGGGAAGAGTGATGGGGGTGGAGGGGGAACTGCATCTTTTCATTCCCCATCCCCCAAATCCAGAGACACGTGGTACCTACAATGGGGCAAGATACACCTGAGCGAGAATCAGATGAGAAAACAAACAACTGTTCTTTGGTTTATGCACACAGGTGACAGGTAAACATACCGAGACATTCAGGGGAGTAGGTATAGAATGAAAGTACATGGGAGAGCAACATTTGGGGTGCAAGGGTCAAGATAAATTTATCTCAGAGGGAGCAGGATGGGGAGAGTGGAAGGGAAACACTGAGGGTGCTGTGTGGCTGGGAAGCGGCAGGGATCGTGCAGACAGTGGCAGTATGAGAGGAGAGAGAGGACGGAGGGGCAAATTCACCTTCCTCTCTGGTCCCTGCAGATTGTGAAGAGTAGGGGAGAGTTAGCAGGTCATCCTCGCCTTTGTGGAGTTCTCAGGGTTCGGGTGCAGGTTCTGTGGAGGTGATCTGGCCAAGGCTATGACTAGTATGGGAGATGGAGTCCTGTTGCAGGATTATGGAGAGAGTCAGAAGTCCAGGCATCGAGGTCTATTGGGGAAGAGTAGGAGGAGTGGGATTTAAGATACTACCCATCACCAGGATCTGGTGAAGGGCAGAGGTGAGTTCCCTGAAAAGTCCAAGTTTCTCCTGAGTAAATTTTGAGGTCTCAGTTCTCTGGGGAGGCTTTCAACTCGAGAGGAGTGTTCTGTGGAGGCTGGTTCCATTGACCCTGCTTCTCCTCCTGTTCTTTTTAGATCTCAAAGCTAAAGTTTGTATGAAGCGACCCAAAGAGTTTACTTGTGAGAACCACTGTTCATACTTCCAGCACTGTCCACAAAATACTGTATGCTGCTCAACCTTCTGCGGGAATGTTTGTATGAACATCCTATGAGTCAGAGAGCAGGGGACCAAGCATCCTGCCCCCGCCAACCATCTCCGCAGACACTGTGCCTGCAGCTGAAGACAAGGACCTGACCCTGGACACAGGATGTAACAGGAACGCCACCCTGTCCAGCCAGTATCTGAACAACCTGTACCTGTCAAATAAACCAGAACAAATGTGGAAGGACCTGCCTGGCTCACTCCCGGTGTCTGTGATCATGGAGGACCCAGCGCAGACCCCAGAGGGCTCCCCCTTTCTGGGTCCAGGTCTCTGATTTCTCTCACCTTGTCAAGCTTCTCTGCTCCCCCTCCCCACCTCCCTCCTGCATCCCTGCCAGGCCCCTGCGAGCCCAGCCCCCATGTTCCTCTGTCACTGAACCAGGACTCCCAGGGGGAGGACCCGCTCGTGTGTGGCACCTCCTAGTCCTCAGGGGAACATGCCTCGCCTGGAGCCACAAAGGGCCAAGTTCAACATGAGATGCCAGGAGGCTAGACCCTGGGGCACAGAGGGGGAGGTCCCTGAGAAGGACTCATCTTAAACTTGGTCCACCCCCATCCCATCCCGCTCATCGTCCTCGAGAGGTTCAGGTCACTGTCTCTTTGCAACGAAGAAAATGAATCCCAAGGAAGTGAGAGGACACGTCCAAGGTCAAAGCAGAGGGAGAAGTCGTGGGCTGCTTGGAGGAGGAGGTTTCCTCCGTGCTCCCTTCTGCGCCTCCCAGTGAGACAGTCCGCAGGGACTGAGTCCTGTGCTGTCCCTGCTCCAGCACCAGCGACAGGCTGCTCGTGGAGTGGGGCCCGGCCTGCAACCCCTGAGACCCCAGCCCCTTCCTTTAACTGCGTGAGCCCAACCTTTCCTTGTGGCCTCATCTTTCTTCTTTTTTTAATCTGGAGGGAGGAACAGTTGGTTCAGGGTGATGTGGCTAGGATTAACTGGCCTTGGGTCTTGCCACTGATTTCATGGTGAGTCAGTAGAAATTCATCCCTGGGTCCAGAGTCACTGCTACTCTGTGCAGTCACCCCTCCTCTGATGTGGTCCTGGGACTAAGTCCAGAGACCCGGGCACGTGTGTCCAGCTGGGACATGGGATCAATTGTGAAGCACTCGGGCGGGCAGGCCCTGCTGGAGGCGGGGATGTGGTGTTATGCTCCAGGCCAGTGGTTCCTGCTGAGCATCAGTGAAGAAGACAGGACATGCCTCCATCGGCCCAGAGCCTCTGACCCATCTCAGGAGCATCACAGGGCTTCTGGTACTGGAGGGTGTCCTCCAATTCTGCTAAGAGCTGCCCTCGGACAAGGGGGCCTTAGGAAAGAGATCATGATCCACTAGCAACTCAGACATTATTGGAGGTAGTTGGGTGCTAAGGGCATGCTCTGTAGGAGTTCTTATGTGGTCCTTCCTCAGATAATCTCACTCTCCAAGCATTTTCCCAATGTTTGACAATCCCCTCAATCATCCTGGGACAGACTGTTAGGAGAGGCAAAATCACCTGCCCAGGGCCACATGGTGAATGACCTCCTGTGGACATTGTGTCCTACTTCATTGGTGTATCACAGGTACCAGGCTGACCTATTCCTTACCACTGGTGAACACCATGCACCATGAATTTACTGGAAGCAGCTGCCCTTCTCCCTGTGGTGACTGGTACCCTGACCCTCTCTGGACAGTCCACCCTGCTCTAAAGAACTCAGAGGCCACACCTAGAATGCTATGGCTAGGAAAGAGGAGTGCTTGCCCAGATACCACTTCATTTCTGTTTTTATTAGAATAAACAATGGCCTCTTTATTACATAAAAGGGAGGAGTTGGGGGGTCCCTTGGAAGACATGGAAATCTGTGGAGACAAAGGAGGAAACCAATGCAGACTTTGCCATGATCTGGGTCTCCAAAAGGTCAAGTCCCTGCCTACAGAAAATCGCAGATCAGGACTGATCTGTTTGTGACAAACACATGGGCTCGTGGTTTCTATGCCTTATTCATTCATTCATTATCTATTGTCTGTCTGTCTCTCTATATATTTATTTATTACGTGATTTGTTCTCCTCTCAAGTTCCAGAGTTTCCCCTAGCAAATTTTTACCTCTCGTTCCTATCAACCAAGATAATCGGAAGTAGCTTTCTCCCATGTACAGACCTAGCAATAGACCCTCGGTGTCTTACTTAATGACTAATTCATCTCTTTGGGCTTTTTTTCTTTTTTATGATCCCCCCCCCATTTATTTTTATTAGTTGGAGGCTAATTACTTTACAATATCATAGTAGTTTTTGCTATACATTGACATGAGTCAGCCATGGATTTACATGTGTTCCCCTTCCCGATCCCCACTCCCGCCTCCCTCTCCATCCCATCCTTCTGGGTCTTCTCATTGCACCAGCCCTGAGCACTTGTCTCATGCATCCAACCTGGGCTGGTGATCTGTTTCATCCTTGATAGTATACTTGTTTCATTGCTATTCTCTCAGAACATCCCACCCTTGCCTTCTCCCACAGTCTAAAAGTCTGTTCCATACATGTGTGTCTCTTTTTCTGTCTTACATATAGGGTTATCATTACCATCTTTTTAAATTCCATATATATGTGTTAGTATACTGTATTGGTCTTTATCTTTCTGGCTTACTTCACTCTGTATAATGGGCTCCAGTTTCATCCATCTCATTAGAGCTGATTCAAATGAATTCTTTTTAATGGCTGAGTAATATTCCATAGTGTATATGTACCACAGCTTCCTTATCCATTCGTCAGCTGATGGGCATCTAGGTTGCTTTCATATCCTGGCAATTGTAAACAGTGCTGCGATGAACATTGGGGTGCACTTGTCTCTTTCAGATCTGGTTTCCTTGGTGTGTATGCCCAGGAGTGGGATTGCTGGGTCATATGGTAGTTCTATTTCCAGTTTTTTAAGGAATCTCCACACTGTTCTCCATAGTGGCTGTACTAGTTTGCATTCCCACCAACAGTGTAAGAAGGTTCCCTTTTCTCCACACCCTCTCCAGCATTTATTGCTTATAGACTTGGATAGCAGCCATCCTGACTGGCGTGTAATGGTACCTCATTGAGGTTTTGATTTGCATTTCTCTGATAATGAGTGATGTTGAGCATCTTTTCATGTGTTTGTCTTTGGGCTTTTGACTTCATAGTCTGAAAAGACTTTGATCCCTTGGTATTCCATGGACCATCATGGAGGATTCATCACACATATGACACTCTGCTCACTGGCCATAGAGAATGGAAATAGCAGGCATCCTAGGTGCTTTAGCACTTGCATGCCAGAGGGTGGGGCAATAGTCCAGACTGACAGTAGCGTGACACCTGACAAGAGTCCAGGACTTGCTCTGCTGGTAACATTTCCAGAGATCCAGCTGTCCAGGCGTATAGGAAAGTCCCTCTGAGGCAGCAGACAAGATGCTGCACTTTCTGCTGCCCACCGTGAAGAAAGACACAATGCGTGGTGGGGCTCTTTGTTTTGTTGTTGTTGTTGCTTTGGTTTTTGGCCATGACACACAGCTTGCAGGATCTTAGTTCCCTAACTAGGGACTGAACCCAGACCACAACAATGAAAGCACCGAGTCCTAACTACTGGACCACCAGGGATCTCCCTTGGTGGAGCTGTTTGGCTTTTGGAGACAATAAAGGCCACTCTGGGGGCACTCTGCTCTTATTGACTTTCTGGGGGGAACATAAGGTTGATAGTTTTTTAAGATAATTAATTCATTAATTTTTATTTTTGGCTCCACTGGGTCTTCAGAGCCACACGTGGGCTTTCTCTAGTTGCAGCGATTGGGGGCTGCTCTTTGTTGCTGTGCATGGGCTTCTCATTGCAGTGATTTCTCTTGTTGCAGAGCACTGGTTATAGGCGCATGGGCTTCAGTACTTGCAGCATGCTGGTTCAGTAGTTGTGGCTCTTTGGCTCTAGAACACAGGCTTAATCGCTCCGCGGCATTGGAACCTTCCCAGACAGGGGATTGAATCCATGTCCCCTGCACTGACAGGCAGATTCTCATCCACTGGACCACCAGGGGAGTCCAAGGCTGCTAGTTTTGAGTGGAATCCAGATTAAGGAATATTTCTGCAACAGGGCCAGGATATTTTGCAAGTTGCCTGCCCCTTGGGTCTTGGCTCCTAGCACATGCATTATACAAAGTGTCTGTGGTTGGTTAAGATGCTGACTGGTCTCTTTGCAAGTTCCAGTAGGAGAATCAAAGAATACACACCTGTATTGAGGTCAGACTTTCTCTTCTGTTGTCAGATAGTTTCCATTTTTGAAGCAGCTTTTTCCTTGCTAGCAAACCCTGGTAAAGACCCATGTCTAACCAGGGAACATCAAACCACTCTGCAACTGGAAGGTTCCATCACAACTTGGGGGTTATCTGATCTATGAAGTCTCAAAATGGGGGGCAGTGCATAGAGGCGGTTCCCTGTCAAATGGAAATGGTATAAACGAGACTGGGCTTGATCGGCTCCAGAGGAAATGAGTCACCTGTATAACCAGGTGTTTGGACTCTGAGGACCCACTGACTTCCTCTCTAGCTTCCTTCTTTCCCACGGCCTCTAAGTCTACAAGAGGTCCTGCCATTTCTGTGTCACTGTTGGCACTCTGAGAAATGGTGTCTTCCTGTGTTTGCCTGTTTAGGGTTTCTTGCACTTGCACATCTCCTTTTGATTTTCAGGATCCAGGGATCTACTGTAGATGTCAGCCTTGTTCTCAGTACTCCTCTGTTTGCGTTCAGACTCCTTTTCTGAGGGTTATTTTACCCGTGTCCTGTGTGAAGCTCAGTGCCCCTGCCTCATTTTCAGGCATCCCGTCTCTGTGGTCTTCCTATGTCTCTGCTTCCTTGATGGCTCAGCGGGTAAAGAATCCGCCTGTGACACAAGAGACGCAGGTTTGATCTCTGGGTCGGGAAGATCCCCTGGAGAAGGAGATGGCAACCTAGTCCAGTATTCTTGCTTGAAAAATCCCATTGACAGAGGATCCTCGTGGGCTACAGTCCACGGGGTCTCTAAGAGTTGGATGT